TACTAGTAAAGGGTAATTATCAGTAAATATTCACACTCAGTAATACAGTACTGTACTCTGTATAAAACAAAACGTCAATGTTCCCTATCTGGGTGCTTAGAGGACTAGCCAGTGAGCAGCAGAGTGGCTAACAATTCCGAGATGATTGTAATTATGGTACTTGGTGAGGTTTTAGAGCAGGATTATTAAATAAATTTGACCTAACTACAGTACCCGTAAACAGCTATAGTATTTTCATTACATTATTTTAGGTGATATCTTAACAAAATTAGGGAATTAACTTTTGAGTTCTGAGCAACTGCCTGTATAGACACACCTTACAGCACTTTAGATGCATTCATGGAGAATTGAACACTATAAGAAACAGCTCTATAAGAAGTCAGTAAAACATGGCTTCATTGGAGGTACAGTCCCCTTCACTAGTAGTTTACAGAGGCTTGTTAGGTTTTGTGATGTGTGGCAGCCCTGTGTTTGTTTATATTCAACAAAAGGAAACTCGCAATAGTAAGCAAACTATGGAATCAAAGTAAAACATTATTAAAACAAATATCTCAATGTAATGATTTGTGGAATGTTTATATGACGAGCCCCTGTAAATGCACTAATGTAGGGGACTGTACATTCGTAGCAGCACTATTTCCTATCCATGTGATAGGTAAGGGCTTGATTGAATTTTGGTAATAGCACTTGTACAAATCTCCCTCCTTAAATACAGTAATCTGGCAGTATGGTAGATGTACTGACTTCCTCTATCATGGCTCCAATTCTTGCTTACAAGTTACAACTACTAAACTAACTGTTGTTGGCAACCAGGTCTGAGGAAAGATAGGGTCCAGGCCCAAGTTCCTCTTTATTTTTTAAACCCTACTTGATCCTATTCTTGACAGTCACATTGAAGGTAACAGGGGCAGTCAAATGAAGAACCATCAAGAAATAAAGGTTGTGTCCTACCAGTCAGAATGGTTGTGATACAGTCAAGGTCAGGTCCTGTTATGCCATTATGTTTGAGTTTAATTGTATCTTAAGATTAAGTGTCTTTTAGTCTCCTATAATCTTCAAAGTTTATGACTTGGCCATACTGTACTGCCATGATGTTATGGGCTGTGGTACCCCTCTATTGACTTAGTGTTGTATTCCTGAATTTGCTCACTATCTATAGTTCTTAGTAAAAGTAGTAGTAGTAGTGGTAGTAGTAGTGGTAGTGGTGGTAGTAGTGGCTGGGAAATGTGTTTGTCAGTGCTCATGCCGGAATCAGAAATGCACAACTTGAATTTGTGTGAGAAGTAACACACGATGTGTGGGTTGTAGGAAAGGGACCAGCTGTCAAAATCCATACGGCAGAGATCCATCACCTGATGGCGACATGTCAGACGATATTAGTGAACCCACTCAGTCGGAAAATGCTGTTCATGAGGTGAATGACATACAGTCAACAAATTAGAAAGGCATATCGGGGGACGATGCGGAGAAGTGGGTCAAAGAAGCCTTCTCAGAAGTGGTCAAGTGGTCGCCAGCTAACCTCTTTGAACCACCCAAGTGTGCAGACACCTCCCTGGCCTTATTAGCTCTTCAAATACTGGCCATAATACCCCATCTATTCTGTCAGAGGACACACGCAAGGTCTAAGTGCAAAGAGATTGTGGTAGCAATGAATAGAAGACTGACAATGTGGCAGAAAGGGGCCCTTGATGATCTCCTACGTGAGGCAAGAACACTGCAGGAGAGTCTAAAATTCATAGGAGATGGAAAGTAAAACATTGAGGATGTTGCCAGAAAGTTTGGCAACAAGATACGTTTGGGAAAAGAGTCCTTGGCGGTAAGATATCTCACAGAGGAATCTTCCGGCGATGTTTTGCCAATAAACAGAGAGACATTACAACAACTGAAGGAAAAACATCCCCCTGCAAGTGCAGAGGAAGGGATCAGGTTCCAGGGTGCCTGTATCCCTCCAAATGCTGCCATGTTCGAGAAAATGACAGGAAGGATGGTGTGGAAAAAAGCAATGAAAACAAAGGGAGGGGCAGGCCTGGATGCAGACGGTTGGAGAGTCATCCTCAGCACTAACAAGTTTGGCGCTGCAGCAAGTGATCTCTGCAATGCCACCGCCGCCCTTGCAAGAAAACTAGCAACCTCCTGCTGCCATCACCTTCATGCTCTGACGGCCTGCTGCCTCATTCCCTGGATAAAGATCCAGGATGTAGGCCAATAGGAGTGGGGGAAGTGCTGAGAAGGATCATTGGAAAATGCATAATGGAGGTGGTAAATGATGATGTCAGGAACCTGGAAGTATGTGCTGGCCACCAGGCTGGAGAGGGGGGGGGGGGCAGCTGCCATTCACGCCATGAGAAAGATGTTTGAGCAGCGTGATTGTGAGGCAGTACTCCTGGTTGATGCTTCCAATGCATTCAACATAATCAACCTCAAGGCTACACTGCACAACATTAAGATCAAGTGTCCAAGCTTTGCAATGAATGTTGAAAACACCTAGAGGAACCCATCAGACCTCTACAGAAGAAGCCTCAAGGCCCTAAGAGGAGATACCACCATACAATCAACCGAGGGAACAACGCAGGGGGACCCTGTCGCCATGACAATGTACGCACTAAGCCTTTCCGTGCTCCAACATACAATAAAATATGAAAAAAACCGAGGTCAAGCAAGTGGCTTATGCTAAAGACCTAACAGGAGCAGGAAAAGTGGAGGACATCAAAAAGTGGTGGGACCTGGTAACATCACGAGGTCCACAAATATGGTACCACCCAAATGCCAGCGAGTCCTTCCTCATTGTGAAGCCAAAACACTAAGAACAGGCAATGGAGGTGTTCGGTGGAAGTGAGGTAAAAATAACAAAGGATGGCCAAAGGCATCTAGGTGCGGCAATTGGCACGAATGACTTAAGACCGAGTACGTAACGGGAAAGGTAAATGAGTGGGTGAAGGAAATCCAAGTTCTGTCTGATATTGCTAGAACAGAGCCACATGCGGCTTTTGCGGCATTCACCCATGGAGTTAAGCATCGTTGGAATTACCTGATGCGCATTATCCCCGATATCGGACCCCTCCTCCACCCTCTGGAAGAAGCCATCAAGGTCGCTTTTATCCCAACACTAGTGAAAAACCCTTATTTAACCCCAGCAGAAAAGTCACTCCTTGCACCACCACCGAGACTGGGAGGAATGTGATTGACTAATCCAGTGGAGCTTGCCGTCACAGAACATCAGAACTCTTTCAAGCTCACGGCAGCCCTCACTGAGCACATAATAGCTCAGAATGCAGAATGTCAGGTGGATACCAACACATTAAACAAGATTCGATGGTCCATTACAACAGAATGGCAGCACACTCAAAGTGATAAACTGCAACAACTGTTGCAGCAATTGCCAGAGAAATTGAAAAAAAAGTAGCTACAACACAGGAGGTGGGCGCCTCGAACTGGCTAACAACGTTGCCAATAAGGACAAATGGTTTCATACTTAATAAACAAGAATTCACAGACGCCATTGCTCTAAGGTACGGTCGGCCAGTAGGCGGTTTGCCCTCCCAATGCGTGTGTGGCTCATCTTAGGACATTGACCACGCCATGGTGTGTAAGAAAGAGGGTTTCGTATGTATGAGGCATGACGAAGTAAGGGATCTCACAGCAAATTTACTGAAGGAATTTGCCAGTACGTCATGGTGGAACCGCCCCTCCTTACAGTGGACGGTGAGAACCTCCGTCACAGGACTTCAAACACATCCAACGAAGCTGGACGTCAGTGTTCGAGGATTCTGGACGCGGGGACAGCGAGCCTTCTTTGACATAAGGATTTTCTATCCCATGGCCGCATGTCACCGTAACGTAGCTCTCAATGCTGTACACAGGAGGAACGAGAATGACAAGATCAGGGCATATGGGGAGAGAATTCTGAATGTTGATCAGGGCAGCTTCACTCCTCTGATGTTCACAACTTCTGGTGGGATGGGACCAAGTGCAAGATGTTTCTATGCCAGACTCGTGGAGGTGTTATCTGAACGGAAGCAGCAGCCCAGAAGTTACGTTACAGCCTGACTGAGATGTCGACTGTCCTCTGCTTAGGTCCGCATTGCTCTGCCACAGGGGAACGAGATCATAGGCCCCAAAGCCGACAACGATCACAGATATTGACTATGAGGCGACAGTTGGCAGCTACGGTAGCTACCTTTGTATTAGGATATTTAATTTTAAGGTAATAAAATGGCGGCGAAGGTGTGGCTATTGGAGGAGGCTCGAGGCTACGTTTTGAAAAAATGTAGTAGTAGTAGTAGTAGTAGGCTAGTAGTAGTAGTAGTTGTTGTTGTTGTTGTTGTTGTTGTTGTTGTTGTTGTTGTTGTTGTTGTTGTTGTTGTTGTTGTTGTTAGTAGTAGTAGTAATAGTGGCGAAGGTGTGGCTATTGGGGGAGGCTGGAGGCCACGTAAAAAATAATAGTAGTAGTAGTAGTAGTAGTTGAGATTTAGAGTTTGTGATTTTTATTGAGGAAGGGAAGAAGAAAAAAACATGGAGAGAGAGAGTTATCGCGCGAGCACACACACACCATCTATTGTTAAAATAATAAACAGCTCCTGATTTATGTACTGTACAGCCCTGTAAATGTATTGAATGTATATTATGATGTCTAAATCACATGTAAGTGTGTATATTTTCAGCCACCGGCTGCAACTCTTAATAAACCGTTTATTATTATTATTATTATTATTATTATTATTATTATTATTATTATTATTATTATTATTATTATTATTACACACACACACACACACACACTTGGGGTTTTCTATATTTACAAATGTTGCCAGTAAGCACCACCTCGTGTGAACAGTTAATCAGTTGTGCATTGACACATTTTTTATCTCCAAACTGTGAAGGTGAAAGTAGATAACATGAGTCAGTGTGGACACGGCAGATATAAGCGCCTTAGGGGATATTACTGTTTTCAGTTGAGAGTTCACATCTATGATATCTGGAGCGAGCGGATGCCCTCCCCACTAAGTTCACAGCCTCAGGTTAGCGAAGTCATAAGTCAGAAAGAATTTTTTTTTTTAATAAGAGTTGTAAACTCTTGGAACAGACTGCCAGTGTGTTGTGACGGCACCAATTGTAAGCTCATTTACGACCAGACTTGTTCAAGACTGGCGCAGTTTCTGATACTGAACATTCTGGAGCCAGTGCATGCCCTGTACTAGCCAACAGTGCGTAAAAGACATTTTTCAGTACCCAAAGAGGCAGTACAGCTGACTTCACTTTTCCTAGCTGTGTGTTGGACAGCCATTCATAGGTGGGTAAACTAAGGTTTTCTCCTGGTAAAGTACTTCGGTTTCCTCCTTGTGCTAACACTGGACGATGAGGGTCATAACAAAGTAACAAAGAAAAGACCAACTGCCCGAACGGTGAGTGAGGTGATATGGGGTGAGATGTTATAGTAGACAGATGAAATGTTGGATTCTATCATCCATAATAATAATAAAATAGACACTTTGTTCCTTTGTTTATTTCTAACATTCCGTGAGCTAATAGAGATTATATGAAAGTTGATTAAAATGCTTAAATTTACATCCTCTTATTGTCTTTAAGCGCGTAACAAGGTTAGCAATTACACTTGTCCAACAACAATTAAAAATTATGAGAGATAGAACTCTACTTCCCCTTTGCCGGTGCCCGGTCATTATCGATTGTGAAGGCCATTGACTTATAGGTCCTTCTTATTATCTGTTGGTAGCCGCTTCTGTCCCTACAGGCTTCGGTGCCGACTATTAGCTGGCGGTAAGAAACTGTCTGGTGTCATTTTATTTGATGGGAACTGTCTGGTTAGGACGCGGGCTCATAATGTTTCCATAACGCTTTAGACTTAACGGGGACCGGACGGAAGACTGACAGGAGTATCGCAGAGGACCACAGATTCCACAATACAGTATGTCACAAGTGCTCTTCGGTGTAGGTGGTGTATAGTTAAGACTTAAGAGCCACAAAAGCACAGTCCATCATCAATTTTCCCAACAGGTAAGTACGAGAATGTATACAATAACGTCTGTCAGTAAATGAAAATATAATTAAGAGCCACAAAAGCACAGTCCATCATCAATTTTCCCAACAGGTAAGTACGAGAATGTATACAATAACGTCTGTCAGTAAATGAAAATATAATAATAACTAACGCGACTGAGGCAAGTGCAACAAAGGGGAACACGAGCAATGCGCACATGGAAAAAGTGGATCAACACCACAACCTCCCACCCAGGTGGAGACGGATAATGTGTAAATATACCAACAACTAGCATATCCCTAACTACTAATGTGGATAGGATAAATAAGTTAAGTGATACAATAGGCTCAGGTTCGTTAAAAAGTTCAGATCCACATACTAAATCTGGTTATATGTACAGTCACCTAAAAAAGTCCTGTCGCGAACCATGAACCCCGAGATTCAGACTCTTGAATCCGAAGCATTTATGGACGGAATAATGTATCAGTGTCTACTGCTTCGGGTTCATGAGTCTGAATCTCGGGGTTCGTGGTTCGCGACAGGACTTTTTTGGGTGACTGTACATAAACACCGACACATTCCTCGAATAGAGAGCGGAGATAAAAACCCATAGATGCACCTCCCTGATATAGTAGGTATTATGGAGATGCTGTCTGAAGATAGGAGGATTAAACCTCATGAATGTGAATCTAACATCGACATGTGATTCACTTATGAACCCGTCCGAGGCAATATGGAAGTGCTGGGGCGTCGTCACCTGTTCGAGATAAAGGTACAGGGGGGAGATATTTTTCAAGAGATGAATTGGTCTAATATTAAACTGTTGGTAAGAGACACACTCATTGGTGGTTGTGTTTACAGATTATCGAATTATAATGAATTGAACCATGTTAATATGAAAGCCTTAATAAACAAGAACGACATTAAGCTCCTGCCACCTGCTGGTAATGGTTGATTTTAATTATGTTAACACTGACTTGAGGAATTAAAAACATTCACCAGTTTACCTTATTTAATCTACAACTATGTCGATAGAAACATTGAAAGACAGTTTTCGATTCCAACATATTAGAAACCCAACCCAATATAGAAGGAAATTGAATTAAACAATATAAACCACGGCCAAGAAGCGAGCGTTGTATCTACTCGCTCACTCCAAATTAGGAATACATTTTTGTTATTGTCTTTATTACGCAATGGAAAATAGTGGAATAAAGGTGATTTTTATTTAACACGTTTATTACTGCCTGAGTATTACCACCGGAAGCTGGCTTAGTTAGACACCGGAGAGATAGAGATAGTATTTAATTAGAATTTAGATATTTAAATAATTGGTTGCCACAGTATACGATTTAATTAAAACTCTTAACAAAATCAGAAATACATTCCACTTATCACCACGTTACAAGTATCCCTCAAACCCACCACACACACACACACACACACATACACACACACACACACACACACACACACACACACACACACACACATACACAGTAATTCCACCCTGTGTCAAATATGTAAATTAATAAATGTGGCTACACCTTGCTCACATGTGACAATGTTACTGCATAAACAAAGCAGTGGTAAGGACAGAGACCGGTGGCATCTATTATTACACATATCGCTGGGAAAAGTCCTGATCTTTACCACGAAACCCTGCAGCTGGAGCATCCGGCGTTGTCAGAATTTGTCTGTGAGAGCACCTCAGAGCCTGTGTCTTTGACCACACTACATCCACTACACTATCATCTACACTACATCCACTACACTATCATCTACACCACAAACACTACAATATCGTTAACACAAACACTACAAAATCGTCACCACTAACACTTGCACTATCGCCTTCACTATCTTTAGCCAAAAAATGAAATAAAATAAAATAATAACAATAAATTTTAGCTCTATTAAAATCTGTGGTCATACATGGGTGGGAGGGGGGGAGCTGACTCTACCCACTCCCCCAATTTAGACGTGGGACTGGGGGACCGACTACTGAGCCCCCCCCCCCTCCCGCCCCCCAATAAAAAATTCCACCTTCGGGACATTCTGGGGGTGTGTGCAAAATCTTAGTGTCGAAATAGTTATACACGTTTCAGGTTGACATCGAGTTCAAGAGAGAAGTTAACAAAACCAGTGAGGTGAGGTGGTGCTGCGAGGTGGTGCTGCGAGGTGGTGTCACGAGGCAGTGAAATGTTTGACCAAATTAGATGTTTTCTTCACAACCGAAGGAGGTAATAATGCATTGCGTATCACACACACACACACACACTGTATAGCGGACATTATCATCCTCCCAATCTTGCCAGGGCCGAGGGAGGGAACAACTTGGAGAATTTTGCCCATACTCTGATTCTCATCTCCTCTCGCCCCAACTTCTTTCCCTTCCTCTGTGTTTTCCTTCTCTCTTTTCTCCCCTCTTCCCACTCTCCTTTTCTTCCTTCCTTTCAATTCCTGCTTCTTTTCATTTTCCCTCTTTGTGTTTTTCCTTCCATCTTCCCCTTCTTCTCACATCCCTTCACTCCCCCAGAAAATATCCCCGTGGTAGATGTAGGGGCTGGGGTTAGAGGTTGGGGCATTACTGGGTGATTCAATCCAGGGTCTCCGCCTCAGTCACTTGCATAGTTTCATCTGTATTTACGGCCAACAGGAGACGAGGACCACCAAGGGATTGTGTTGAGAACATGGGTTTTGACGAGGAGCTGGGAGAGCCGAGGGATGGACGTGAGCCGGACGCAGACCATTCTCATGCTGAAGACATTGAACCTCTCCATCCACTGTTCTCGGTAAGCCCCGGGAATTATGTGCCCAAGGCGGCGATACTTGGGAGTGAGCAGCCAGTCACATTCAAGAACAAGGTATACGTAAATCTTCATTATTCATGGGCTACATTTCTAAGATGCATGTAAATATTTTCAATATTTGCGAGCGAGCTTTATAGAGGAGCGACACCCGGTGACAAGTAACCAATCACAACCAAGGTTTCTAAACTGTATATCTGTTCATCAGTCATGGGCCAGTTGTAAGGGAGAAACCTGGTAATGAGTGGTTGTTCATATGGCCTCACCCTGGGGTCACACATAGCCTCACCCTAGGGTTACACATAGCCTCACCCTGGGGTCACATATAGCTTCACCCTGGGGTCAAACAGAGCCTCTGTCGCGAAAGAAACATCCATTAAGGACGCCTCTTTACCCTTTAGTATTAAGTATAAACAGAGAATCTTGAAATTTGGTTTTAAGGTTTATTTGCTTAACATGTATTTCCTTTGTTGCTGCTACTCCCATGTTTCTCAGTGGTGGGTGTTGGTCATTCTTCAGGTGATCAAGGGTGGTAACGTGGAGGAGTTACGACAGCTGCTGACTGAGGCACCGGAGGCCTCGGTGTATGGCAGCCTTGAGCCCCTCCTCCTCCTCGCCGCCGAGCTCCACAACCTAGACATCATTAACCTGCTGCTCGACCACGGCGCCCAAGTATGTGGCTCAGTTACTCATCGAGTGCTTGGCTCAAATTTTGATAAACTCCAACAAAATTTTTCCTCCAATCTAGAAATGAAGATTCTCATCCAGTTAGTAACTGTTACGATAGTCTAACTTAGTGCAGTTCTGATCGCTCTTTGTATCATAGCATAAGAATAGTCGGGTTACACCCGGAAAAATTCCTTGGTAGTTATAGGTCACTAGATGAAGGGTGTGGTCGTCTAACCTTGAAGCTTTTTGAAAATCCAAGATGGTCGCTAATTATATATACAACAGATATAACGGAATTCAATTATAGACATAACTCCCATTTTTGTGGCTAGAAAGACATTAAACCAGCAAAATGTATGTTTTTGAGGATGTTGATCGCATTTTTAGCACAATTAATTACAAAAACACCATTTTAAATACTCCAAAATATTAGGTTGGTGAGGATCACCAATAAACCCCCAGAATGTTCGTTTTAAGTATAACTTTTATTTGTACAAACAATATATGTTACTTAATTGCCTAATAGCAAATAACTTCTATGTATTTCTTTATTTTATAAACTTCTGACTGGTCGTAAATAATAATAATAATAATAATAATTATAATTATAAATTAATTACACTCAGTTCATATTATTTAAGCTGACTATTATCCGCAGGTGAAGGCGGTGGACGAGAAGGGCAACAATGTGTTACATAAGGCGACGGCCAATCCTTGTGACTTCGACACTCAAGAGAGGCTCCAGGAAATACTTCAGAAGTTCCTCGATGCTGATGTAGAAGTTAATTCGAAAAATGAACAAGATGAGTCACCACTCTTCTTGGTTGCCAGTTTTCAGCCTCCAAATATTGTGGAGTTTTTGTTATCCAAAAGAGTACGAGCAGATCCTACGGTAGTGACAAAGAAAGGTGAGACTGTGCTCCACGGGGCCTCAATAAAGGGCTGTGCTTCCAGCCTCACGCACCTTCTCAAAACTGGCCGCATCAGTCATCTCATCACTAAGCTGGACCAAGATGGTAAAGCACCCTTCTACTATGCTGTTGGCAGTAACTCTTTTGAATGTTGTGAAGTTTTGTTGAACCATGGAGACCACTTGACCACGATGCTCTTGGATGATGACTCCCGCTGTTCATATCTGCTTAAGAACCTGCCGTCTGCTACAGAACTCCTCGAACGACAATTTAATGCACGCATCGCAGTAACCAGGAATCATGAAGACTGCAGCATCAGCTTTGACTATACTGGGATACTGCCACCGGAGGAGGGCGAGAACCTATCAAATAATAGAAAGATACAGAGTTCTCTTATAGATGACCTAAACAACACAGGCTCGGAAAATCTTCTTAAACATCCGCTTATAGAGACTTTTCTCGGCCTAAAGTGGAACAAAATAAGGTTTTTATTTTACACCAAACTTTCATTATTCCTTATTTTCTTGTTAATTCACACAATCTACGTCGTCAGAGTATATACGAAGGGGTCGAAGATAAAGGAAGATTTTTTTAGTTACCTGATGTTTAGTTCTTCTCATATGTTTATGTACCTACTCATTGTGTTTTTAGAAGTAATTATTACTCTTGGTAACCTAAAAATGTATCTTAAGCATATGGAGACACTCACAAAAGCCATAGCACTGATCTCGTCTGCATACGTTGTGTTCAGCAATGCCTCTTATGTGAAGATCAAGTCAAATGTCATTGCCAATTTAACATCAGAATATACAAAAGAAAATGAAACACGCGAGTCATTGTCAATGGACAGACAGATAGCTGCAGTGTCAGTGTTCTTTGGTTGGACTGAGTTGATGATGATGTTTGGACGACTTCCTAGTCTTGGCTCCAATATTCTCATGTTTGCACACATAGCTAAATCAACCATTAAATTCATAGTAACATTTGCTGCCTTGTTAATTGGGTTTTCGACTAGCTTTATGGTTTTATTCTACAACAATGAACTTTTTAAAAAATTTTGGAAGAGCTTGATGAAGACATTGACGATGACGATAGGGGAGGTGGACTACAATGACTTGGTGGACACACACACGGACTACATCAGCTACATAATGTTGGTAGCATTTATTTTTCTCGTTTGCATTTTGATGGCCAATTTTCTTGTTGGTTTGGCTGTTGATAACTTATCTAAGTTAGAGCAACTCGGTAAAATTGAGAGACTATCCAAACAAGCATCTTACATAGTCGCGTTTGAGAAACTGACATTCTATGCTCAAAGGTGTCACGTGTTTCCACGCCGAATGACAACAACTTTGACTAAAAGCCTCAAAGTGGATAATAACAAAAACTTTCATGAGACTTCAACTAAAAAGTTTCTCTGTCATGAATATTACATCACCAAAAACGTGGCTCGAGAGGCCTGTGATATTGCAAGTGCCAACAAGACCACGGACGCCGGAGTCAATGTGAACAGTGAAGAACTAACAAGAGCATCACTAAAAACATCAAAAGAGATAAGGAAGATGAAGCAACTACTTCAAGAACTTTCCAATGTGTTGCAATCCCGGAGCTCAAATTAGGGAAGATGATGTGATACTTTGCTAATGTTGATCATAGGCTGTGTGTATATTGTGGTGGATACTCTCCCCTACAACTGTCGCTGACCAGCCGATCCCACGGCAAGTTTCTCAACCAAACCAAGTTGTCTGACTGCACGGGGGGATCGACCAGCAGCGACGTTCACTTCCGGCGGACTCGTGTATGTAAGCCCCCAGCCTCGCCGTGAAGCCCATTCTACTCAACGCTCTCAAACCAGACAAGACCTCCTCTCAACAAGCTCCTCACCACACAGCAACTCCCTAGCACTGCATTGTATATAATATATATGTATAGAAAACGCCATAGATGAGTTTCCCTTCTCACCTCCACCCTAGTGCAATCCCACATCACGTGAACCCTACAATATTTCCGTGACCAGTCTGCACACACCCTCTTGTAATATTCTCATCTTTTACTTTACTTTTACTTTTATCCTCTTCACCACTGATTGGCTCGTTAGCCGCTTGGGCGATCGGTCACGTCTCTGTCACGCACTGTTGGCAAGTAATGGGCACGCACCGGCTCCTGAATGTATTTGAACCTGCTCCAGTGTTGGTCAAGTCTTGTCTTGAAAGAGCTCACAATCGGTGCCGTCACAACACTTTTTGGTAGATTGCTCCAAGAGTTCACAACTCTCACTCCGAAAAAGTTTGCCCTCACAGTTTTCTGGACTTGCGGCTTCTTCAATCTCGAGCTGTGACCCCTTGTGGGGCGAGCGTCCGCCAGCTCCAAGTAAGGACACTCGACCGAGTAGTGCCCCCTGAGATGCTTATACACCTCAATTAAGTTACCCCTTGCCCGTCTGTAGTGTAAGCTAGGCAAGTTCAGGCGCTCCAATCTCTCAGGGTAGCTGAGATGCCGAAGTGCAGGCACCAGTCTGGTGGCCCTCCTTTGAACATTTTCAACCAACTGACAGTCCCTAGCATATCTCGGGGACCAGACGGGGTGACAGTACTCCAGATGGGGAAGCACGTCACTCCTTAAAATCGTTACGAGGGACGGACCGTCTAGATATCTGAACGACCTTCTTATGAGACCCAATAATTTATTTGCCTGATTTACCTTCTTCTCACAATGGCCTGAGAACTTCAGCTCATTGTCAACATACACACTAGGTCCTTCTCACATTCATTCTCAAATAGTGCAGTTTCTTCATCCCGTTCGGACATATGATACGCCTCTTTACCATTGGTACGCCCCAGGTGCATCCTCTTACACTTCGTGACATTGAATCTCAGCAGCCATTTTTTCGACCATTCTTGGAGCCCATAGAGGTCCTTCTGCAGCTCTTCACAGTCCGCTTGGTTCTTGATTTCCCGAAATAACTTGGCGTCATCGGCAAACATTTGTATGGAGGAGTGTACAACGTCAGGCATGTCATTTATGAAACAAACAAACAACAGCGGACCCAATACACTGCTCTGTGGTACCCCGCTTGTGACAGGTACGGATGATGATTTCGTGCCATTAATCACCACACTCTGCTTGTGGTCATGTAGAAAGTCTTCTATCCACGCTAGGACATTTCCCCGAATTCCGTACCCCTTTTGTGGGGTACACTGTCGAAAGCCTTGGCAAAATCTAGGTAAATATTGTCGATATTACCACCCCGTTCCAGAATATGGGTCCAAATATCCAATACCTTGAGCACACAAAAAAAAATAAAAAAAATACAAGATTTCAAGAGTATGTATAATTGTATTATCTTTTGGACGTCCAGCTTATTTGCCCAAAGCATTAATAGGTTTGCTGCACAAAAATACAACAGCAAAACTTATGACAAACTGTTTCTGTAGTGGCCAAATCAAAACATTCCTGTGATCACACTTACATTTATTTTTTTTAACAGGCATTAGCCTACCCGAGCACAGGTCACTAATCCACATCGGGATCTGAGGGGGGGTGAAAATGTCATATAATAATAATAATAATAATAATAATAATAATAATAATAATAATAATAATAATAATAATAATAAAAATAATAATAATAATAATAATAATAATAATAATTCATAGTATGCCTACACGTGCTGTCTAGGTAATGGGCATTATAAACCTACAGTCTATTTACATGTTGAATCAATGTAAAACAAAATGCAGGATGATTTTGCTGAAAAAAAAAAAAAAAAAAAAAAAATATATATATATATATATATATATATATATATATATATATATATATATATATATATATATATATATATACCTCAACCATGATTCGAACCCACGGCCCACGAGCCCATGACTGTGACCGGGGAACGCTACCTCTGGACCACCAGGATATTAAAGTAGTCCTAGACTCGGTTATATTTCACACAAAGCCCTTTTCAACGAGCTTATGGCGCCGTGAACCTCTAATGGGGACTACCCATATCACGTAGGTGGTCAGAGTAACGTTTTACCAAATCCGGCTTCGAAACACGAGGATCCAAAAGCTCGTTGAACAGGCTTTGTGTGAAATATAACCGAGTCTTGGACTGCTTTCAGTATCTTGGCAGGCTGAGGTGTTGATTGTATGTAGAAGTCCGTGTGCTTTATTGGGCTAATGAAATATATACATATATATATATATATATATATATATATATATATATATATATATATATATATATATATATATATATATATATATGCAAGTAAATCACTGTAGGTGCGCGTGATCTAGGTATATGCTGATGACCACAAGGAAACAAGAAAACACAAAGTTCCCAAACGCTTTCGTGTAATTCACATCTTCAAGGGTGAGTACAGACTAAGGAGAAATACATAACAAGGCATATATATGTGGACTTGATCTCGCCCTCCTCTACTGTATATATATGCCTTGTTATGTATTTCTCCTTAGTCTGTACTCACCCCTGAAGATGTGAATTACACGAAAGCGTTTGGGAACTTTGTGTTTTCTTGTTTCCTTGTGGTCATCAGCATATATATATATATATATATATATATATATATATATATATATATATATATATATATATATATATATATATATATATATATCCATATATATATATATATATATATATATATATATATATATATATATATATATATATATATATATATATATATATATATATATATATATATATATATATATATATATATATATATATATATATATATATATTATATATATATATATATATATATATATATATATATAATATATATATATATATCCTGTAGATCCACAATGAAAACGTGGATAAGATAGCATCCGATCGCATTTAGATAAAAGCAAATTAAACTACGACTCTCAACATGGGTTTACAAAGGGAAAATCTTGTCTAACAAATCTGCTGACGTTTTTTAGGAAAGTCTTCGAGGTAGTAGATAATGACGAAAATTACGATGTTATTTACTTAGACTTTAGCAAAGCATTTGACAGAGTACCGCATTAGAGGCTTCTGAGAAAAGTTAAGGCTCATGGTATCGAGGGGAAAGTTTTAAATTGGATAAAATCATGGCTCACCGATAGAAAGCAGAGGGTCAGAGTAGATGGTGTTAAATCTGAGTGGGGCTGTGTAACCAGTGGGGTTCCCCAGGGGTCAATACTAGGCCCACTCTTGTTCATAATCTACATAAACGATCTAGATACTGGGATCAGCAGTGACATAAGCAAGTTTGCGGATGACACCAAAATAGGGCGGCAGATTAATTCAGGGCAGGATGCAAATGCACTACAGGAGGATTTAAATAAACTGCAGGAGTGGTCAGAAAAATGGCAAATGAAATTCAACACCAGCAAGTGCAGCGTACTTAATATTGGAAGAACAAATACTGTCAATGTATACAGCCTTAACAACATCAACCTAGAGAAGTCGACTTGTGAAAGAGACTTACGGGAACTTGTAAGCCCGGACCTACGGCCTAGAAAACAGTGCGTTAATATTCGAAATAAGGCAAACAGAGTATTAGGTTTTATATCTAGAAGTGTAAGTAATAAGAGTGCAGAGGTCTTATTGCAGCTATATCTTGCGCTAGTCAGGCCGCACCTCGATTATGCGGTTCAGATCTGGTGCCCTTATTATAGAATGGATATCAATTCACTGGAGTCGGTGCAGCGAAGAATGACGAAAATGATTCCGGGACTTAGAAACCTACCATATCAAGATAGGTTAAAGAAACTAAACTTGCATTCCCTAGAAAGACGAAGAGTGCGGGGAGATATGACAGAAGTATTTAAGTGGGTGAAAGGAATCAATAAAGGGGATATAGATAAAGTTCTTATAATATCCGAGCAGGATAGGACTCGGAGCAACGGATTCAAGTTGGATAAGTTTAGGTTTAGGAGGGAGATAGGAAGGAACTGGTTCACAAAAAGGGTGGTGGACGAGTGGAACAAGCTTAGCAGCTTTGTAGTAAGTGCTGGAACGCTGGAAAGTTTTAAAAGGAGGCTAGATAGATTCATGGATGATAGAGAGTGGTAGTAACTCTCGACAGGAGCTGCCATGCACATTGCACAGGCCAACCGGCCTATTGCAGACTCCTTATTCTTATGTTAAGAGATATGTCCCTCACTGTTGTCAGTGTTTATAACACTTGACAACATTAAGGACCGACCACACTTTGCTATAAACTGACGAACCTGTACAGGGAATCCTCTATATTTCACTTATTCCTCCTTCACTATATGTAACCTGCCAAGATAACCAGTGGCCCCTTAGGCACTCATACCCTCTTATTTTCTAAGTCCAAGATGTCAGACATTAACACCAAAACTTCCTTGTTGGACCCTGTAATTCTTTGGCATGTCGTCCAATAAACTAGCCCCGCGCCTGTGTTCGGTATATCTGCTATATTATCTGAGGACTTTCGTCCCACTGTATCTTACCCTTAGGTTTTTTGTCTTTCAGCAGATTTAAGTTTACCAATGGTGCCAGTTATGCCAATTCTCTAGCACCACAGAGCCAGAACGAGAGAAGGATGGCCAAGGTTACGTTCCAAGTAAATACATAATTTATAATTTTAGTGTTTTCCTGGTCAGTGCACAGTTCCACAACATAACAATGCCTCCAGTGTCGCGTGACACAAAGTGCCTCGACCAAATATCAAGAACCAGTTCTGTCTTGGACCTCTTCATTTGTTACATTCCTGACGTTTCCTGCCTTCTTTATTGTTTATAGACAGGTAGGACACGGTCTGCCTCTTATCCCGACCCTCTCTAGTGCCCACGTTGACGTTTATATCATTTCCTAAACGAACCCAATGACCTATCCATCTTCATGCATCTGTTATTAATG